TTATTACAGAAAAGTAAAACTATTATAATCATCCACTAACCAATTGCTGAATGGGTCAGTCATCTTTTCTCTTAGAAATACCTAGCCACCAGAGTCCCAATGTTACTAGGTTCCAGAAACAAACATGGCAAATTTACTTTGTGCTACCTTGTCAAGTACTTAGCTTAACAAAGAAACATCAATTTAAAATGTCTAAAACAGTTCCCAAAAGTAAATTCAAGAACATAGGAATAATGAAATTAGAACTTCTCTTCTCACCTGAAAAAAACTGATTAATTGCTTCTCAGTTAGAGTCTCTAATGGATAAGTGAATAAGGAGCAGTATATCTTGGGCCAAATATCATTGGGAAAAGTTCTGTGATTATTATAGTTGCAGTAGTAAATTTTATTCTTATTGGCTTTTTAAATAATTGTCTTCATCTACTTCATTGCCACATAATATGTATTTAAGAATATATATATATATAAAACAATTAATTGAAGAAGACTTAATTATGTTAAATTTATGTTCAGAGAAGTAGGAGAATTGATGAGAAGGGTCTGAAAAATAATACCCCCCCCCCCCCCCCGTTCCATAAATAAACAAAATGATTTTAATAGCAACAATAGCTGCTACCATGCATTGAGTGGCTTTCAGGTGTCAGGCACTGTATATCTCTTACATAAACCTTTTCTTTTTGTCTTAGTCCATTTTGTGCTGCTACAACAGAACACCTGAGACTGGGTAATTGATAATGAACAGAAATTTATTGGTTCTGGGGGCTGGTAAGTCCAAGATTGAGGGGCTGGCATCTAGCGAGGGTCTTTTGCTGCATCATCACATGGTAGAAAGGCAAAGAGATGGAGAGAGAGAGTAAGAGATAGAACTCGAAGCCTCAAGCCCTTTTACAGTCTGCATTAATCTTTTCATGAGAACGGAGTCCTCTTGATCTACACCTCCCATTAGGCCCCATCTCCCAACCCTGTGGCACTGGGGTTAAGTTTCAAAAACATACTTTTTGGGGGACACATTCAAACCATAGCACCTCTTCTTCCCCAAAACTTGTGAGGTAGATAGAACCATAGCATCTATTTGCTGATATAATTTTACACTTTTTATTTCCATTCTGTTCTATGGAACTGCAAAGGAATTTATCTAATTCTCAGCATTTACAAACCCAGTGATCTTTAAGAAAGTCCCACAAGTATATCATTTAATTTTGAAGGCTTACTTCTTCACACAAAATCATCTACATTTTTCTGTTTCTCTGTCTTTTTAATATTAAAGTTTCCAAACATCCTTGTAGGTATGTCTCCCTGAAATGTACCCACAAATTCAATGGTCCTCTAGCATGTACATAATTCAGTGTGAAAAGAAATTATTTTCTTGTTCTGGGCTCTAAAATTTTATGTGTGTAGCTCAGTTCATTAATTATTAGCCCAGCCTCATCACATTACTCATGTAAGTTTTGATGGGAACTACAAAATCAAATTGCTTTTCACATAAAAACTGCTTAGCCATAAGCAGCTATCCTGAACCTGGGATTATTGATGGGAAGGGTTTTGTATTTATACATTTACATTTTTTATGCTTGATTATATATTTATATATTATTTTTGTTATTTTATTAATGTATAACATTTATATATTATCTATATATTATATAACCATATTGTATAAAATATAGAAATACATTTTGTATTTTGCTTATGTTTGTGTTTATATTTAATAAATTCTTTATTACATTTTATCTTGTTAGAGCTGTTTATCATAACTTTAAAGTCATTTTTAACATATTTTTTCCTCTGCCTCCGTTTGATCACAATGACCACTTATTCAGTAAGTTTGTCAGTTTGCCAAATACAGTATTTCTGTCCTCATTTAAGTCGCTGACCAAAAAAATTTTACACACATATGCACACACAAAAACACATACTTAGAGAGAGACTTGGATAGAACAAAATGCACATTTTTGTACGACAGATCTCTAGAAGCTCTTCCCACTCCCACTCTGCATAACTGAAACTCTACATTTTCTTATCAGCTCTACTTTTCTTGTTCCTGGAAACCACCGTTCTGCTTTCTATTTCTATAACTTAGATTAGAAAATCATTGAATTGGTATTTGCTTATTGACATTTTGACAACATAATTTATTAAATTTAGCCTCCTGAGAGATCCTCTTACCCTAGAAAGAAAATGTTAAGCTTTTTACAAGATAATCTCTAGGACTAAAGCTCTAAGCAATAAACTCAAGAAATTAATTACAAGATTAAAAGAGACCTTCAAAATAGGTTCCACCTACTTGCCTAAAACATTTCACCTGAAGTTTGAAATTTACTTGATATTTAGACCGTAGCATTTGGAAAAATATGTAATCCCCAGTGCTTAATGAAAGCAAATACAAGGCAAGTTCAGGTCATGTCAACAGGCAAACCTGAATGTAAAACCTCCGTGGAAAACTACCAAAAGGGCCAACTGGTGTTCTTGGCAGTACTAAATGTTTGTAACTTCTCAGTCACACTACCTGGGCTTTTCTTCCTCAAGTGGCAGTTTTCTTCTTTATCATACACTGACTTTTGGTTTCTATTTACCTGCATAAGCAATTTTGTTGGCAGGGGTGATTTAATTCTTTTTCTGATTAGATCTCCTCAATAGGAACGCCTTTAAGTAATTGTACATTACAACCAAAATGAACCAACCATTCTTTTGGCTTCATTCTTTGGTTGTTCACAGATGAACTCTGTTGGCATAGAGTTCTTGGCCTGCAAGAACTCTATTGATTTTCCAAGGTGAAAACTGTGTCCTTCTTCTGAAAGAAGAAAGAACAGAGGAAAAGCATCTAAAGATGCTGATTTTCAGATCAACTGAAGTGAGAGCTGCTGATCCACTTGCACTAATTAAAATCAGTATCCCAACCAATGAATTGCCATGATCATCTGGAAACAGGAGATGCTTGCCAAATGTAATTCTGTATTGACATGCAGGAAGAAGCCTATGTTTATCCTAAACAAAATAAGGGAAAAAAACCAGCCATGAATTTAGTAAATCCTGGCAAACTTTTTTTCCATAAAATTGATTCTACATATTTACTTTTGACTGAAAGTAGAAATATCTTATCTTTATTCTAATTAGATAATTAATTTTATTTTACTCTAATTAATTCTAACTATTCAGGTTGAAACAAAGGATAAATAAACATCTCAGAAAACCTCAAGACATCCTAGTGTGAGTTTCTCTGTATCACTTAGGAACACATGCAGAGTTCATTTTATTTTGAAAATAAATTTCAGAGTGGTTAATCTATTTATTGTACCTCACACAATAAATCAATTATTAGATAAGCTAAGAATTTAAACTTTGATTTGCACAGTTTGTGAACTACACAGTCACTCTAAGCTCCTCTCAAGAGTATAGCATCAACTGTAACAGAAGCTTGTACCAGAACTGGGTCATCCAGTGAGACTTGGCTACTGTTTATCTTTAGTTACATAGCTGGGGACACATTCCAATTGTTTTCACATTGTCTTAAAACGTTTAAATCTTAAAGTCTACAAACAGGTATAAAAACTTTTATTATTGCCTTGACATAATCATCATTAGTGGAAATAATGTTATAAATGAAGTTTCTAACATTTTTCAGGACAGTTGTCCTTTTCAGTAGTAAATGGCCTCTTGATAATTGCTCTGTGAACATCTAAACCCTGTGATTAGAGCTCTTCAAATGACCAGAAGTCATTACTCAAAAACTTCCTTACCACACAATTACTGGATCATGTGCTTCTCTTGTGCTTCTGTGCTACTCCAGCATGATCTAACTTTTGTTTTGGAAAAAATAGATGTTGTTTGTGTCAGCAACAAAAAAATCACTGTCTTTTATGGTAATTTGAAAAATTAAAACTTGCATTCTTCTTATGAAATCAAGCAATGGAAAGTATGCCTTAGAAATATTGATTTCTATTATGTTACCAAACATTTATTAATTATATGCTAGATTTAACATTGTTATATAATCTAATCTGGACATCATTCTTTTGAGGTGGATTCTAAATTTAACTCCATTATGAAGAGAAGGAAACTGTTTAATAGTAATCCCTGTGTCACCCAGAGTCACACAATAAGTAGGGATATGAAAATAGTTCTTGGAAGAGATCATGAGTATCCTAATAGTAGTAGTGACAGTGGAGAGGAGGTGGCCAATAAGGTGAAAAGTAGAGGGAACTGAAGGGACGATGGGAAACCCCTTGTTTGATTCACCTGTCAGGGTGCCAAAGAATTAAAGGGGCCATTTCTAAACTTTGATGAGGCCTGTCAGTGATCTTGAAAAACCATCCTCTCCTTTGAGTCTTCTATATATGCCTTTAAACCTCTCTTTTTAGTTGAAAAGCACTAAGTAGATTTGGGGCTGATATTTCCAGTAAATCTCTCCAAATCTCCAACTAGGCCCTGGGGTTATCTGGAGCATGGGGACATAGGTTCTTGTGTCTCCTTGGGGTTACCCTTAAAAAGACCATTTAACACCCAATGGAAGTTTAAGAGATGGGTGATAGGAAGCAGAAAAGTGTACAGGTAGATTTGGGGATTGTCAAATTGGAGATCAATCACCTACAATTTTTACTTTATCATCAGCTTAGCCTTTCTTCCAAAGTTAAAACTCCTTGTCTGATTAAGGAGAAAATCAAACAATAACTTATAGTTTGTTTTTGTTTTACTTTAAATCCCAAGTTGAATGAGACTAGATCCTAATAAGCTACAGTTTTGTCTTGTTTTCCCCAACTAGAAATTACAATAGATAATATGTTGTCCTTTGTTCTTTGTCAGTGTTGTCAGATTCTAGTCTTTACATCTATTGTTAATTTTCATGATCACTACACCCTCCATATTTGGTTACAAAGCTCCAGGCTGCATATGTACAAACCAAACAATAGGCCCGGAAGGACAAAAGTTCATTCATGAGACAGTATCAGAGCTCCAGCAAGATATAGAAGCTAATTTTTTTTCTTTTAAATGGGAATACAACACACAGGACAGATTATTCTTGTTGTTTGTACTGTCACAAGGACAGATAGTTGTATTTGAAGCTCATTATTCTTTCCTTTATTCCTGCTGATAAACATCCACTCAGGCCATTCAGTGGAAAAGAGGTAGGAAAGATTTTGCTCGAACATGAATGTTTATAAAAAAAGTCAACAGATTCTCGCTGGATTTTGATATTAGTTTCATTTAAAATATTCTTTCTGAGCTACCTTTTAATATTTAACATTAATATAAAATCAATCAAATTTAATAATAATTAGATCATCAGTTCATAAATGATAATATAACACATTAATATTTAATATTAAAATCACCTTTTAATAATATTAACAATAAGCATAATAATAATGACTTTTCATAGTATATAAAGAGGAGGATTTTATATAGGACTTCTGGGCATGAGGTAAGAATGGGCTCACTTTGACATAATGGATGAATAATTTAAATTCCCTTCCTTGTTCTGTTAGACCTGGCATTTGGATTCTGGTAACAGCCATGGATTTAGGTGTATAAAGGAGAGTATCTCATAGAAGTCTTCAATATTTTGGTATAAAGCCCGATTTATCTGCCTCAAAATGTAATCGGCCTATTTCATTTCTCCAATTTACTACCATTTCTCAAATATAAGCCTTACCCTAAGCCACCTCTGCAAACTAAATGACCAAAAAAAAAAAAAAAAAGATAGAGAGACTTTGTTCAACCACTCATTCATTTATGAAATACTTACTAGCATGTACTATGTGTCAGGTACCATGCTAGAGGCAGGAGAACAAAGATGAATAAGTCATTCTCACTTGCCTCAAGAAGCTCACAGATATTTTTCATAAGACCAGTAGTGGAGATAATTATAGTAGTAGCTAACATGTATTAAGCACTTACTATGTGGCATACAGTTTTCTAAGAACTTTACATAAATAAACTCTTTTAATATAAAATAATATCTTTTTGAGGATAGATATATTATTATTCCCATTTCATTGGTGCTTAAGTTGAGGCACAGAGGGATTATGTGATTTGCCCAAAGTCACACAGGACAATGAAGGGTAGAGGTAGGATTTGAACACTGGCGACTTGATGCAGAACCCATGCTCTCACACACTGTGCAGTGATGAATGTGGTGCTATGGAAACCATAGAAAGGGTGGGTGCCTCACCGGGGCTGATGATGGAGGCAAGCCCAGGAAGATATTCCAAATGAAACAGGGCTGAGGCTGAACCTTAAAGAGTGAGTAGAAGTTAGCTAAGTAAAGAATGACAAAGAAAGGGCAGGGACATTGTAAATATGGCTGCAGGGTCAAACCGAGGTATGAGAGTGATGGCAGGGAGAAGGGGCATTTGGTGGTGGGTGAATGTATAAAGGATTGGAGGTTAGGTAACAGCGAGGCTGGAGAATGTTGGTAGGGTCCGTTTGGGTGGCCCTTGAGGGCTTCCTTAGAAAATGCGGATTTTATCTTATTCTTGAAATTCTTCTACATTTTGTGTTTTGTTTTATTTGTTTTATTGTTTGTTTATCTTCATTTGAACTGCAATTCATGAGCTGAGTAAATGCTAAGTCACTTGTCTGAGGCCCTCAGTTTCTTCCTATAAAATTTATGAGGTTCGGTTACTTAGATCTCTTCTCGTGTTGAGATTTATGCCTGTTTAACTTATCGTTTTATCTCTTACTTGTGTGATCAAGTTTTTTCTAAAGTTAAACTTAACCAGGTTTATATATCCTTGCTTCAGCTCAATAGAGAAGCATAATCAGTGAAGTCCTAGGTAACTACAGTTTAAAGGAGTAATCCTTCCCCTTTCTCATGTCAAAGTAGATGGTCATGTTATTGAGGAATGACACAGCAGGAGTGCATTACAAGTTGTACAAGGTGCACATGGGGCTAAATACAAGGTATATATAGTCAAGGCGTGATTCTCATAAAACATTACTACTTAAACATTAATCCTTTGTTCTTTGGCTTTCCTGATTGTAATGAACTCTGATTCAGAGATGCAGTTTGAACTTTCATTTCTTCTCCCAATTGCCTCATTCCCATTTCTTGTTCCACCAAAATTATGATATCCTGCAACAAATCACCTCTCTTCTCCCAGTCTCTTGTTCTCATCTGTGACCTTCCTCTATCTGAGAACCTGGCTTTGAAATCATGTCTTTCATCTATCCTGTGAAAACTCTTTTCTCTGTTATCACAGGCAGTGCACTTTGCTTCCACCTCTCTCTAAGTATAGCTTATTTTATGTTCCTTGGTATACTTAGAATCGATTTCCATTTTGCCATAAGTTTCTTAAAAACTATTTGTTTTTAAAAACATCTCAGCTATTCTTACTTTAAGATTTGAGAAATACATCGGAAGAAGGAAGCGGGAAGTCTCACAAAGCATACATGTGTACTTTTTTCTTCCTTTCCTCTCCATTGATGCCTCTACCATTCCTTCCCCTTTCCTCCTTTCTTATCCACCCAGAAGGGATGCAAAATGGTTTTAAAAAGAAATACAACATGACTAGATGCAATCAAAGTAAAATTTTGTGGTTGGGAAATCAAGTCAGGGGAAAGAAAAGAGAGAAGTCAGGAATGAGGTTACTTTTAAAACAAAAGATATGATGTTCTTGCTCTGTGCTTGTAAGCGGCAGCCACAAAGTTGGCTCCAGCCAGTTTAGCAACCAATGCTTAGAGGAAATTCTGATTCACTGCATCTGAAGCATGTAAACGAAGCAGCAACTTGAGGCTGAGAATTGAGAGAAATCGCTCCCATGAATCCTCATGAAGAAGACCATCTGTGTACAGCATTATCCGCCTTCCTTACAAAAACCGGCCACATGTATGAGGCTTTTTACCGGTTGGTATTTGGGGGCTTATATCATGCCAAAGCCAATTCACTAAAAGTAGCTTAGGGGTCTGGGATGTGCCACAGTTCTGCTGTTGTAGCTCTCTGCTGGGCCAGTTAACTCAAGGATAGATTTTAGAGGCTGAAGAGCAGCAGTATGTATTCTATAGTTCATTAGTTACAAGAGACGGTCTGTGGGGAAAGAAAAGCGTATAGGGTCAAATTCATTTGGATATGCAAATTCTCCTTAAAGATTCAAAGTACACATTAGCATACAAGGGTTGTGAAAAGTCCTGTGGTAAAGAAATATGCTTACTTTTCCCGACATATCTGAACACAGAATTGGTTTTTGGTGTTGTCATTGTCTCTCAGGTTATCACTTGGGCCACTTCACTATGTTCGAGGAAGGCATGAGTAGTTAATGAAATTAATTGGTTTAATCAAACACAAATGCATTAAAAATCATACCAGCTTTTAAATTGTTACAAAATCATGATAAGAAATTAGGTGAAATGGAGTTAAATTTCATAAAAGATTTCAATAACATTTCACTTTAGGTCAAACAAAAGCTGTTCCCTTTGGAAATTAAGATGTCCATTTTGATGTTTTTAAAATGACTCCTTAAAATATTACTGACATAAATTTAACCTACTTACTTATTGATACTTATTTTCAAATATACTGAACATAATTGAAAAAGAAAGCCTTCAACTGGTGGAGGTTGAGGTTTTTGGAACAGCATCTCTTCTTTCTCTGTTTCTTTCATTCTTTCTTTTTTAGATGATCTAGTTAATCATTTTTAATATCATAGAGGTATACCATACTAAATTTATAAAACAAATATTTCTTAGATATGCATCAAAAAACTCTTTCAGTGAGGCTTATATATTTAATCTCTAGGTACAGATGAACAATTAATAAGTTCTAGCCTAGTTTTCTTTTTCAGTGTAAACAGACAGAAATTAATGAAAGATATTTAAAGAAACACTGTTGCAAGTCTTCTGGTTTTATTATTAGGTGCAAAAATTTCACCAAATCTATTTTTTCCCCAAGCAAAAAAACAAATAAATAAGCATCAATGAATAAATTGTACCTTAGTCAGAAGTTCTCTCAAAAAAAAATTCCCAAGCAGCACCTTTGCAGGAATTAGTTATTTTTCATTTTCAGTCCATTCTCTCCCCTTTAGTTATACAAACATGCTATTTTGGGATCATTATTTATGTGAGGTATAATGCCGATTCTAGCCCATCTTCATTTTCAGAATCCACATAACAATTAAATCCTCTTGCTGAGAAAATTACTAGGCAGAAAGGAGAAATTCTCCTTTACTACATTAGACTGCACTGGATTAGGAGGAGTTTTGCATATTGGATATTTTTAAAGAATTGTAAACTACTGGTTAAAACTTCCAGTGAGATATATGCTTCCCTTTTGAAAGTTATAAACAGTATAAAATACTACAACTGGAAGGGGTTCTATCCCATAATTTTATAGATGCAGATATTGACAATAAGGGAGGGAAAGGGATTTTTCCTTTATTACAGACAAGTTAGCAGCAAAAATAATAATAAAGCCTGGACATTTTTATTCCTAGACCAGTGGTTTCATTCATAGAAATCTCTATAGAATAGATAAATCATTTTTTCCTTCTGATCAAATGAATTTATAAAAACATAAAGACAAATTTATAGAGATTTATTAAGCACTGACGGTGTTTGTAACATAGGAGCAACACACCGAGCCAGGAGATCCCAAGGTCTAAAGTAATCGCGGTGTTTGGAGGAAGCTCGTCCACACTCAGGCTGCTTATTGGACTGAGAAAATGTGCAACATGCATAGCTATCACACAGCTAGTCCTTATTCTTCTCTAAAGTCCAACTGCCATTTATAAGCTGGAAACATAAAAATACAGATCCAGCCTTCTGTCTTTTGGCCTGGCATCAGAAATCTAACTCCCTTGGGGCATTCATTCTCATGCACCTTAAATGTAAGTGAAATCACAGGCACTTTTAGGTGCCTGAGAGTGAATGTCCCATAGGCAGTTGGATTTCTCTGTTATCTTAGCCTTCAGTCCTGTTCCCACCCTGAATTCCTGTCTCAGGAATGCTCTCAACATCCCTTCATCATCCCAACCTGAAAATCTGGCATTGCCCTGGACGCTTTTCTCTCTTTCAACCCTCACATCCAACCAATCACCATGTCTAGAGCTGTTAATTCCTTGGCAGCTTTGGCATCCATGACCTTCTCTCCATCTTCCATACAGAGCTTTAGTTCAAGTCCCCGCCATTTCTG